ATTTAAGTACCTTTGTTCCAGACGTCTCAAATCACAATGATGTGAAAAAGAAAGCTTTCAAAAACTCGACCCCAACAACCGCTTTTAGCAGCAATAACTTAAAGTAATTGTTCTCTGTAAGACTCGTTCACATTGTTGTGAAGAAACTTTGTCACACATTTCTTTACAGCTTTAGTTTTGCTTTAGTTCATTGAGGTTTGTGGGCATCTGCACAGCTCTCTTAAGGGCCTACCACATTTCATTCGGGTCGAGGTCTGGACTTTGACTGGCCTGTTGCAACACCTCGACTCTTATTTTTTGTAGATTTGCTGCTGTGCTTGGAATTGCGATTGCCCATACTTGTGCTGAGCTTTAGCTGTTGGACAGATGGCCTGACATCTCCCTCAAGAATACTTGAGTTCCCAGGTCAAAACAAGCCCAAATCATCACCCCTCCACCACCGTGCTTGACAGTTGGTATAAGGTGTTTCTACTGATAAGTTTGTGGTAGAAAAAGAAGCCTACACGAGGGCCGTGTAACCAGAGTGAATCATTTTTTTACCATCACCAGTAGTTCAGTGTTCTGTGAATGTGTGCATAAAACCTTTCTTAGAAAACAGAAACTAATTTTCTGTTTGCAGCTGATTTGCTCTCTAATATTCTTCTTAGACTTTCCTGTTCAGTGAGTCACATGGACACTTTCATGTCACATTGTTTAGATTGCCTGCAAACCAAGGACAAACGGCCCAGTCAGAGTCTCCAAGCCAAAGACGATGTGATGTCCTACTGATATCCAACAAACTGCTGCAAATTTACCAGTACTGTAACAAAAAATAAAATCCAGTATTAGTATTGACGTGACAGCAGACTTTCACTGCATGCTTTTTGTGACCAAGTTATAACAATATGTAGAGAATATATGAAAAATTAAGTCAAATCTCTTAATCTTGAAATTGTTCATATTGTGTTTTATTGTTTTTGTCAAATGAAACACTCAAAAAGCAAAAGAGAGAGCGAGGGGATCTGAAACCGTAATTATACAGAAGCGTAAGAAAACTGCAGTTAACGGAAGCTCGCAAGACCTGACAGCAGCCATCAACTGAAACAAAACCACTCTTTTATCAACCTATTTGTCGAACTGCCACTGTTGCATTTCACCCAGTATTTCTTTTTTCATTCTGTCTTGTCTTTCCTCCAATCCCAGGTGCAAGAAGTTCGGTATTCCCATTGAGAAAATCTACAACAAAACCCAGAGAGAGAAGTTCGCCTGGGCGATCGACATGGCCGATAAAGACTATGAGTTTTAAACCTATTTAATGTTTTACCTTTTATACCCATGCCTTTGATATGAAAATGGTTTGCAGGAGATGTCAAAATGTTTCCACTGTGTTGCTGCTGCAGGGCAGTGAAGGAGGAAGGTAAGCCCCTGCTCGAGAGCCGATCGCAGGTGAATAATTGTGCTGTACATAAGGATTAGCTATGTATAGGAAAATAACTCCTTAACCATTTGACCAAGCTGCCGAAGGGCATCTCTCTCTTACAAAACTACAGTAGTGCGTATGTAGCTGCAGCTATCTGCCTGTGACCCAGCAGCGACCGACGCATTAGTATTATCTTTTGTGAGATAAAATGTACTGAAATTTGTAAGCCATCAGATTTATTGAGAAATAAATCTATATTGTCATAGAATAATGAATTAAACAAATGTTTGTATGGGAGACTGTGAGACGCAACACGAGAGAGAGGTGATGTGATGACTTTTCATTTGTGTAATTTTAGTGTGAAAGATGAAATGAAATGACAGACTGGTGACAGTGTGAAGATCAGAAAACCCCCAGCACTATGCTCGCACAACTATTAGCGCACAGAATGTCGTCCTTTTTTCCATCACCTCTCTGAGTTTGCTGTTTCTTTCAGGGATGTACATATACTTTTGTCTGTTTTTTGTTTTGTTTTGTTTTTTTAGTGACTGATTCAGTATTTTTTAAAATGTGTGCTGTAAGCATTATAACAGAAGGCTTTTCATTGCTCAAATGCAACTTTTGCGTGTTCGTTTCCTCAGTTTTACGATGAACTCTGTGTAATATGGATCTTGGTTACTTGAAGCAGCTGAAAGGCAGTGTATGTACTGTATGCCAGAGCTTAAAAAAATAAAAAATAAATACAGGATAGCTCCTCCTGACAAAAGGGGGGTGGATTTTTGCCAAATAAGATCTCAAAAGTCTGTCATTGTAACGTGCTGTTTTTGTATTGCTCTGATGAAGCAGAACGTGTCTTTGAATTCATTTGCAAATGTGAATGGATATTCTAACTTTTGTCATTAATATTTCATGCTATATGATCTTGTACCACACAATCGCAATCCTGATTAGTTGAATGCTTGTTTTGAGCTTTGTAGGTTTCAGAATAAAACATCAGACTTGTCTTTTTCGTCTTTTTGTTGCCAGCTTTGATTAGTTTTCAAGTGGGTATTAAAAATAAGCTCATTGTCTGATTACACATGTCTGTGTAATCATTGTCTGATTCCTGATGTGGAGGGAATCAACAGGAATCAGTCAACAACTTGTGTTTTAAGATGTACAATTATAATGGAAAAAATAACTAAAAAAAAATAAAAGTTTATTTAAGGCTATGTTTAGGAGACGCAGTAAGCTCTGTGTTCAGGAAAGGTCTGGGTCTTTAAGAGGCCGATACCATTCCGCTTCAACTGCTCGTTGTGCCGTTATTTGCAGTCAGAACAGCAGGGTCAAACCGGAAGTGCCATGATTGACTACAAATTAAGTGCATGTCTTTGTCACAACGTTTGCCCTCAAAAAGAGTTTTGCAGATGTTGGATTTAGAACGCAAATCAGGTAACGATGCTTTACCTCGCAGCAATTAGCAGCCATATACACATATTTTAGCTGAATATTGTAATACAGGGCTACTGACTGACTTTTAGAGATGGCAAATCAGGTCAAAACAACAACCCTTAGTCCTTGGGTTTGTAAAACATGGACATTAAAGGCAGCGGGAGAAATTTAATGTCACAATTCTGTCGAGCAAATACAAAAAATATCGGTGTGTTGATAATACTGTACACTGAAGAATAATTAGGGAAACAGGCGTCAGTGGTTTCTTTGAAGGACATAAATCAGTCTGATTAAGTTATCTACCTGAAATGTAAGTGACCTTAAAGTGTAGTTATTGGTTTTATTTAGTCACTTTTTCCCACTAATAAGTGTGACTATTAGAGAAACAAACTGCCTGATGTCTCTGCTTCTCCACATCTACATACAAAGAAATCCAAGGTAAACAACAAGAAGAAAGAATGTTTCAAAATGATGCAGTAAGAAAAATCACAAGCATATAATTAGATGGTATCAGTAATAAATGGCTTGGATGTAAACTTAACATACAAGTGATAAATACCTGTTTAAAACTATAGACTGTATACAAAGATGGACATAACCACTATGACATCAACCTTGGCTTTGGAATTTTGGATTTTAACTAAAAAATAAATTGCCCTACTTCCCCCAGGCTATTCGGGGCCTGAACCAGGTGTAGGACTGGACTCTCCCAAACACGTCACTATAAGACTGGACTCTCACACACGTCACCACACGCACCACCACACATTTCCTATAATCCTATAATTCCTATAATTTATAATCCTTCTCTTTAGAATCTCTTCTGCTATTTGCACATTCTTTACTGTAAATTCCTAAGTTAATTTGTAAATTTTTGTAGTAAACTGTAAATTGTAAATATTGTAAAACTTTTCTTCTGTCATTTAATGGTTGGGCATTGTACAGCTACAAGCATTTCACCCCCATGTCATACTGTGTATGGTTGTGTGTGTGTGACAAATACAATTTGAATTTGAAGTTTGTTATGAGGGCTGAAACTGTCCAAACAGACAGAAACTGTCCAAATTGTATTTTGCAAACGTTATTTTGTAAATATACTTTTTGTGTTGTGACGCTGAACATTTTACCATAAGAGTGTATGGAATCGGACTCCATTTAGGAGCCATCTTCAAGTGACAACTACTTGTTTTTTAATTATGTTGCACCAATTCACAACATCAGCCACCTCATGGTGTTTTGTATAGGAGAGTAAAGGCCCTACAACATTAGAAACGCTCCCCAACAATCAGACGCTCTCCCCTATGAGCCCTGTCATATCTTGAAAATATGACAGGGTCACCATTCCTTCAAGGAACCTCAAGGAGCGGCAGTTTTTTCTGCTTCCTCATTCAACTGTGGATGTTGCTTCCTATTTAAAACCAGTATTACAACATGCTTCACCGTCACCATAGATGATAAAGCAACTGCATAAACAGAACACCAAAAGTAGCCTACACACGCTCGCCAACACTCATGGTGATGTCTCTGTTTATTTGAAATAAAGCACAACTACTTTGATAATAAACATTGATAATGATAATAAACATGCATATGTTAAATGTGTGAAAGATATGTGAAGTGTTATGTATCTGTTTTTCATACAGCTGTTGGGAATAGGGCGACCAGATCGCTATAAAATAAATGCAGACTAAACACAGTTTGTGCGAAATGCTAGCTCATAAGGAGGTCGAGTTATTGTTGAGGTGTTCGCTATATTAATGTAGCCATTACTTTACAATACAAAGCACCTTGAGGTAACTGTTTTTGTGATTTGGCACTATATAAATAAAAGTGGATTGAACTGGCATTAGGATAACCCTTTTCTGACTATATTAAAAAGTTTTTGCAAAAGCCAGAAATGTGCATGAACCAGTCAAAATGTGTAACGTTGTCTCAAGATGTAGGATGGGGCAAGGAATAAAACAAAAAACAAAAACAAAAAACGAATAAATTAAACTCGCTGTCCCACATAAAGAGGGACATCAGGTCGCCCTAATTAAGAAACGGGCGCGTTACACGAAATTAATCTTTTTTTTAACTACATTCTCAACCTCTTTACGCGACGCGATTACTTCTTTTATTGTGAAAAGCCGCGACGGAAGCCTCGTGACAGACTCCGGGTAGCTTGACGTGCCAGAGAGGGCCTGCGCTGGCTTGATCCGAGAGCAGACAAACTTGCGTAGTCTTACCACGGGCTTCGGTGTCTGTCTGCCTCTCTCTCTCTATGGACGGCCAGAGGCGAGAAGAGGAAACGGGAATTGTTGTTGTCCGAACCGCAGCGCCTTATGAGAGCCCGGCGATGATTTAATCACGGAAAACCTGAGTGTGGGTGGGAAAAAAAGAAGGAGAAAAGACGCGAGGAGAGAGGAGCAGCCAGCCGTTGGAGATGTGCGGTCGGGCCGAGATTGCGGCGGTAGGTAGTTCCAGCACGGCAGCCCCTCTCCGACGTGTTGTTTTCCCAGTTAATTTTTCTTCGCACGGAAAAGGAAAAGGAGGAGTAGGAATGAATAGAACAGCTACTGCTACCTCAGCCCCCCTGTTTTTTTTACGGGTCTAGCAGGGTATGTTTGTTGTTTTCGCCCAGCGAAATGCTAGCACACACCGGCCCCGTTTCCACGCCGTGAAAATAGCCAGACGGTTCTTGTTACAGCGTTAACCCCACTCTTCTGCCATTCTTCACCAGTTGTATTCCTAAAACTGTTTTCACAGGAAACTTTTTTTCCTGTAGGGAGTTACAGGCCTGTTGGTCTTTTTCTTTTTTTAATTGAAAAAGCAGTCTAAATAACATTAAACCCCGTTTCTCCTTTCTGTTGTATTTATCTACATCAACATGATTTCTCGTTGCACGATGGGTTTCTGATGCAGCTCTCATTTATTCACACCACTCTTAATGATACATAATGCACTCTGATGGGATTGAAAGGTTGTAGCCTAATCGTTGCTCTCAGTACTTGTACCCTTAAGTTAATAAGGTCAAAGGTATGTTTTGAAATATATTCTTTGCCCACATTTTTATTATTTGGTGAATTTATGTGCTGCAAAACTACATAGTGACATTTTGCATTATTTTGTTTAGCTTGTAAGTACGGAAGATAAGATGATCTGAGAAGTTGAATGTTTGTAATCAAGACGTACAACGTAAAATATCTAGGTTATTATTAAAAAAAATAAATATATATATATATATA